ACAGTATGCATGTTTCATACGGATTACATAATCTGAGAATATTTCTTTTCTATTTGAATTTTTTTCTTTTTAAAGTCTCACTGTCTATAGATATATTTTTCATATCTGTAATAAGGCAAACATACACGGAGTTTCGAAGTGACGCGCTCAAGTTCACAGAGTCCGAGACGGCAGAAAGCTCATCCTGTTTGCTTTCATTATTTAACAAAAGCGGAACGTTTCGTTATTATTCTGAGCGCACACGAATAAACGTAGAGTCTTTACAGATGTACAAAAGATGTATTATTCTTATCTGTATGACCAAAAATGCCGAAGCAAATGATCGCACCGGCGCCTCCATCTGTCATGCAGTAGTCCAAGCGCGCTACTGTTCAGCTTCCACACTCTGCACAAACACATGAACAGCGCACTTTTTTCTAGGCTTACATTAGATTGAGCTGCCATTAAAAGTTTCTGGCTACTACATACATTTTTCAGATAAGCCATATTTGAGGTCGATGAATGTTAGGATTTAGGAGAGCATATGGATGTCCTGCCCGATGTACTATATTACCACATAGACCAGCCGTTAACGATTTGTCCGTCAAATATAAAAGACAACCAAACTGGACGCGAGAACAGCTATATATTAAGGATATAATAAAAAAGTTGGAGTTTTTTTTTGGAAACCAAAGCCGATACCTTTTTCAAAGCTCATTATCGTCAAATGTTTCTAAAATGTTTCTATTCCGAGGTAGATTGCTGGCAACAGCCATTTTAGGATAGTTCATATTTGGTCTTAGTGACTAAGGAGTCCTCTTCATTACTCCTAACGTTTCACAGATTTAGGAGCTAGTTTTAGAGCTAAAACGCTTTGTGAAATACTCTTAGAGGGACACGCCCATTATTTTTAAGATTTTCTCCTAAATCGGCGAGTTATGAGCTACTTTTAGCCTTAAGATGTTTTGTGAATACGGGCCCAGAAGGTGCTCCTAAATTTTTTAATTAGGAGGACATGCGCTCCTGACTAAAATTATGAAACTAAATGAAACTAAATCCGCCAGCAGGTGGCGGCAAGTCACTGATTTTATCACTGAATCATTCATTCAATTGATTCGTTCGAACGGCTGAATCATTCAGGAATGAAGCAAGTGACTGTCTTTATGAACGGACGGAACACTTTAATCCCTGCAAGACACAAATAACAAGTAATACAGCAACACACTACAGAGTAATACATTTGTGTTTTCAAACTCTACAGATGACATCTATGACCAACACTCTATTACTGAACATCGTTCATCAGCATCTAACATGTTACTTTACATTTTCAAGCATACTTCTTCATATGCTAGGTTGACAGCAGGCACAGGAACACAAAACAAAGTCGCACAGCTGTTTACCTTGTTGTTATATTCCTCGACGAAGCTGCCGAGCGCCAGCCGAAAGCGCTTGTCGGGTCTGACGCTCCAGTTCATGGCATAGACGGTCCATGGTGCCTCGTATTTGTAGATCTCTTTTCGTTTACCGTGCAACGACATGTTTCAGTTCCTCGATCGGATCGGTGAGAACCAGTTAGAATTGGGTCGTTAAGAATACCTAGATTTGCACCGATCGCTGAAAAGGGCTCTTTCAGCAGGAAAGACGGTCTCTGGTTCGTGCAGCGCGAGACAAAGAGAATAATGTCATAACAATCCCCTCCGCAACGGCCGCGAAAACGACGAGTGCGCTCTGCAACGACACAAAACCTACTTAGTGGAGCTCACAGACATCCATTCAATAATTAAGACTGTTTGTCGCTAAACGCCCATGTTTTTGATCAGTCCCAACGATTTTAATTCTAACTTTAGAAAGCCTTAAATAGGCCCGACCGCTCAACGGGGCATTTGGTCTGAGGAGGATGTGCGTGTGTTTCAAAATAAAAGTCCTTCATAGAAAATGGGGGCTGAGCGCTGAGGATATTTATAGATCTCTGTTGCTACCGGTTGCTACTTGATTATTTTTCTTTCGCATCACAAGACACAATAAATATCAACTGTGGCTCAAGATCTAAAAAAAAAACATCAGCCACATCAGTCCTGAAGAAAAATGAAAAAAAAAAAAATTATAAGAAGAAGAAAAAACAAAACAAAAACAACAACAACCATGAAACATCAGGTTCAAAGACATGTGCCGAGTCGTTAGAAATGTAATATTTGTATTTACATTGGCTTCAGAGAGTATCAGCGTTTATACAGTTTTCAGTAATAATTAATATTGTTTCTTGGGATTACTCTATCTGACATGAATTAACCATCCATTAACCGTCAAAATATCTCATGTTTGAAATATATTAAAAAACATTATTATGATAAATTGTTATAATTTAAATAGAATAAATTAATTGTATACATAATATATTTATACATAATTATATTACATATAAATAATTATATGTATATTTAAATTATATTATTTAAATATAACATTTATATTTATTTTATTATTTAAACAATTAGCTAACTGCAATATCTAAATATGCCTATCATGCATATTTGAGTAATAACAGTAGGCTACTTCAACTGCAGTTTTATAATAAACTAAGGGTTAATCATTTATCAGAGGGCCATAAACGCCCGGATCTTTTCTTATCCTTGTTGTCAGGGTTCGCACAGCATTGTGGGTAGAGCAGGTCAGATGACCCTCGCCTCTCCTGTGAGGGGTACAGCTGCTGTCACACACTGTTACCCACTGAAGGAAACACCGACATTTACAGGTACGTCTATGCGATTTTTGACGTTATCGTCGACTGGTATTAAAGCAGTGAGGTGAAATGATGGACGCAGCCGCAGTGGCGCAGAAATGAGGTTTCTAAGGTTGACGGTGTAGCGGCCGCAGCTAACGAGCTAACATCAGTTTGACTGTAACCGGGATCATGGGGGATGGGGTAGACAGCTTTTCTCCTTCAAATTGGAGATTTGTTTGCTTTGCCTGACACGACTCGCACGGAAAATCTGTGTGCTTTGTTTCATAGTAGTGTAACTTAGCAATAAAGTTTTAGTTTAGCGAGGCATTGGCGCTGGCATGACGAGCCTTTCCGAAATTACAGGATAAACCGGGTTATAGTTGAACAACTATCACGTCCTCTCTGACTTTACGGTTTGCTGTTTCGAGTAGTAAATCAATTATCAGCCTCGTAACAGGTGGAGTATAAACTGACACCCGGTTGTAACTGCTGTGACATTACGAGCTGCATGTAATTAGTAGCTATGTTTCCATCCAAAGATTCGAATTAAACTTATGTGCAAAACTGGAATATCGCATAAAACATATGCGAATAAAGCACCGTTTCCATCCAACGAGTCAAAGAGAACAAAATCGTCACTTCCTGGTAAACTGTGGCACTAAATATCACTAAGAATATAGGAGAAGCCACTGAATATAATAATTTTCATATGATATAAATGACTTGCACCTCGGAGCGAGCTGACGTAATGCTGTCAATGCTTTCGGAGGTGGATGCTGGTGTTTGGGAACGCAGTCGTGTAAGACAATTATACAGAAATACATTGACGACAGACTTTGTTCAGGCATTTCATCTTGGCGTTTCCATCCAGCCTTTTGTATGCGATATTCCAAAATGCGCAAAAAAAAAATAGGTGGATGGAAACGCAGCTAAGTGTCTTAAGTATGAGCCATCTGCTTCACTCCCTGTCCTGTCAGGATTTGCACACATTGGATTAGATGCTTAATGTACTGTTATTCTATATTATATTGTATATGGACGAGGGACAGAAATTAACAGGGGGAAGAGCCCTGCAATTCAAGATGTGGGGCCCAAAAAGTCCTTATAATAAATTCCTCAGTTTTTTTCATTTGTAACATCTGATACGTTTCGTTTATCACTAGTATTGTGTATTTTAGGCCTAAATATAGGAATGTTCTCTCAGATATTAGTCAAATATGACTTGATTTTATTGATATAGCTGTAATTGACTAACTAGTTAAGTTGAAATGTTTAGCAGCCATGTATGGATAACAATGACAAGATATGTGTCCTCAAATGTATTATATGGTCCTAAAAATTTGGCTCCAGATGGCAAATACCCATTAATTAAAAATATTTCTGATTTGCTGATTCTGATTTAACCCATTAATTAGCAATGATTTCATGTGTAAATTTCTTAGGATTTTTTTTTTTTCAAATGAGCATGAAAAGTGGAACTGAATGTATTGTAATAAAATGAAGTATTTTTACTTATGTGTGTCAATAATATTAAGTGAATTATATCTCATCCTTAAATTGTCCATAAAGTCCATAGGATAAGAGCAAATCAGCTTAGTGTATGGCGATTAATAAAGACGTTCAGCCAATTAGAAGGCACTCATTTCAGTGAACATCTCATGTTTAGGCTTAGGCTCTCATGTTAAGACTCCGAAAAGACTGACCGACCTCCTCCTCTTTCACTTGTTGCTCTTCCACTATTGAAAAGAGTGAACCTAAATAGATAGGACAGGGAAGAGTGTTTTTAGACTTGACTGGTTTGCAGTGTAAACATTAGTTCTTGGTATTATATGAGAATACCAAACAATTAAGTCTTGTTTGTCTGTACTACAGCTGACCGTAGCATAAAGTACTATAGGCATCACTGAAGGTGAATGTTTTGGATTATACACTAAATAATGCATAGGGCTGTTTATCAGTCTTGCTATTGTCAAACATTTACTCTGTATTGTTCGTTTACACCAGGGGCCTGTACCATGAAGCCAGATTAGCTGGCTAGCCAGGTAAATTTCAGTTTAGTTTGCACCAATCCTGGGTTTTAGGTACCATCAAAGTGGCTTGGCTTTTAGCGGCGTTCATTGCCATAGTAACTTACACTGCACAGATAACCTGCTCCAGGGCAGGTTATGTTCTGGGTAAGAAATCTCAAATAAACTCAATTAAAACTAAAAATTAAAGGTCACTATAAAGTACCTTAAAAAATACAACACAATTGTCTGGCTTTAATGATAATTACGATTTATGTATGATTTATATAATTTATAATATGATTTATATTACTATTAATCCATTACACACAAGCAATTTTAGTTTAACAATTATTATAAAGCATTTATTTTAAATGAATATTAATATATACAGATCATATGTAATATAAATAAGTGGCAGAATCAATAGATAACGCTTTAAAAATGTAAAAATCGCTATATATAACTTCACAAGTTTCACTTGTAACTGCACTAATAGAGCAATATATTTTCTTTTATTTGTCCTCTTTCATGGACAAGTACTTCAGTGTAAATGCATTTAAAAGGTTAAAAAAAAAAGAGTTTTGAATCTCGCTGGCTCTCTCGCAAGAAGTGAATAACTCTTGCTCTGTGTTGCAAGGCATGTGATTGGCTGTTTGCCACTGATATCACACATTCATGTGAACACGCTCCACAAACTCAGAATCAAAGCTTGAATTGACAAAGAAAGTTGATGATCAGCATCATGGTACCGACAAAGCCGGATTGGAGTGGTTTTTGTTTTGTCAACTCAAAACTAATCCTGTAACTCTGGATTTGTTCATCTACCATCATGGTACAGGCCCCTGGGCAAAAACAAGCCCAAACAACAGCCAGCAGGGCTGGAAAACAAGAGACCCGTGATAGGGCAAAAACTAGAACAACAAGAAAACTAGCAAACAAAACGATAAAAAACAAACTAACAAGACACTTGACTTGACCAGCAACTTGACTTGACCGACTAGGAGTAACAGGGAACACAAAACGAACCAGCACCGCACAGATCACAGAAGGAGAATAAATAGGGAACCAAACCAGGCAGGAAATGAGGAAGGACAGGTGGGGCCAATTAACTGATAATCAGGTAACAAGAGGAGTGGGGTTATACAATAGACATGAGAGCACATGGCACATGGAAACAAACACAAGCACATGGCCAGCAAAACAAATCACCAGCCATGTGCACGACAAGACCCGAACATGCAGCTGATGAGAACTCATAAGCCGATTGTTCATACAAAACATGACATGAAAGCACACAGCCCGTGAAAACACAAGCTGTGTGCTACACAGCACGAGACAAAACATAACATGAAAGCACGCGGCCGATCAAAAACCACTTGCTAAACAGAACACAACACACGCCGACAGAAAAGCGTACGGCCCTAGCGATCTCGAGACCGCACGCTCCACAGCAAGACAGAACATGGAGCTCAACAAGACATGAGTGCCGGGATCTGAAAACTTCACAAGTTTTACTTGTGACTGCACTAATAGAACAAGATAATTTAGTTTATTTGTCCTCTTTCATGGACAAGTACTTTAGTGTAAATGCATTTATATTCCTCATATTCTTTGATCTCGTAATCTTTAAGAAATTAGTTTTGAATCTCGCTGGCTCTCTTCCAAATAAGTGAATCACACTTGCTCTGTGTTGCAAGGCATATGATTAGCTGTTTGTCCCTGATGTCACACATTCATGTGCACGCGCTCCACAAACTCAGTTGACAAAGAAAGTTGATGATCAGCATCATGGTACCAACAAAGTCGGATTGGAGTGGTTTGGTTTTGTCAACTCAAAACTAATCCTGTAACTCTGAGGCTACGTCCACACGAAGCCAGAGCTTTCCCTATCCAATCTTTTTTTTCACCCCGTCTCAAGAAATATCTGCGTCCACACGAAACTGACACAAAACGATGTAGTATACATGCCAGACCAGCATGTGGCGCTGTAATTCTGCCACAGAGATACACTAAAAACGGAGAAGAAGACTTGGACTATGCACAAACCTTGCGCGCGGTATACAAACAAACATGGAACAATACATTTATTAATCTGTGTTAATGTTAGTTAATAAAAAGACAATCGTTCAGTGTTTGTTCATGTTTTTGTTGCTGTTACATGACGTAACGGTGTCTAACTAGGGGCGAGACATGGGCTGATGACGTCATCGTTTCAGAAAATATACGGATTCGCTGTCCACATAAAAACGCAAGGGTGGCGTTATCAGATTTATCCACTCTGGGACCCGGTTTAAAAAAATATCGGTTTCACTCTCCCAAAACGCCGGATCCGTCTCGA